GTCTCTGAAGAGAAGGAGACACTACGATTAATCAACATTCTGGAAAACGACTCCAACCAAGTTATGAATTTTAATGATGAGCACCTTTCTGTTGCCGAGCGTAGCAGACTGCAGAGAGGACTGCAAAACGCCAACAGCAAAGGTGCGGTGGTAGAGTTATGTACGAGCGACGTTTCCTACGATGCAACTCTTTGGTTCAAGATCTTCCCCAATCTCATCCGAATTGCATTCGACAAATGCCCCTTCGCAGTAACCCTTTGTCGAGACCTGATCTGTAATCGAATACTGCAGATGTACAAGCCAATTGTTTACTTATCAGAGCCAACCAGGGGATTGTACTACGGCCCCGACGCGGTGGGCCGAATGGGCAACCGATCTCCTGCAGCACAGCCCGAGGTTATGATTGAGCAATGGAAGCTGTATTTGATATTTGCCTGCGCAACGTTGGCAGACCCAGGAAGTCTGCCCACGGGCCAGACACCACCTGATGGACAGCATGCACGGAAAACGTCGAAACCTTCATCCGCCGACAGGATCGTCACTGCTCGAACTTTATTCAAGTATTTGATTCCGCTCTTGTCCGTTTCGTCAGCATCTGTCCGTGATGCAGTCGTGGTTGCCATGGGCTCAATCAATATTCACATCTATCGGACGCTATTGGAAGAGCTGCAAGGCCAAGTCTCTCGCTGCAATGATGAGGCTAGAGCAAGGATTCATCAACGAACAAATAGCAGCCCTCGGCGCAACCGAAAAATGGACTTGTTGCGGACCGAGATCACTCACGTTTTCAAATTGACGTCGCACTTCTTGAAGGACCCTCAGGTCTACCAATCTGAATTCTTCCTGAACAATTTGACCTCGTATGCAAAAGACCTGAAATTGTTTCTCATGGATGGCGATCTTCAATCGGATGATGAGTTCCACAAACTGAGACGTCATTACTGCGGTCTCATGGAAGCTCTGTTCGAGGGCATTAATAAAACCAATGACCCGTCCCGCTGGATGACTTTTGAATCAAGGAAGTCTGCATTCTCACTGATGGAATATTGGTGCGGCTTCTCTCCCAATCAAGGTCAGACACAGGTCAGGGAAGATACAAGGGGACAGCCCTTGATCAACCAACAGTCGCTAGGTGAACGGGGGGCCGTTTCAGCTGCCTTGGAGATCGAAAAGAGAAATCTTCGTACCGCTGCTCTGAGCGCCATGGCAGCGCTTTGTGGCGGCCCGATAAGCATCACGACCGAGAGCGGTGTTACGTTGCAGTTCGACATGCGTCGTATGCTAGCTTGGATAGAGGCGATTTTCAATTCTGGGAGCGACAGAATGAACGTCACAGGTCAGCGGGCCTTGAAGAATCTCGTCATCCACAACCAGGAATACCCTTACCTTCTGGAACATTGCATTACCCGCTGTTATGTGACCGACGTGCCAAAGGTACTGGAGAGCTATTTTTCAGTCACCATTGAAGTGCTGCAGCAGCAAATCAACTACCCTTGCCCTTTCTATAAGCTCCTTGGTCTTTGCCTGTTCACTCTTGGAAATGACCGGAGCGAGATACGGTCCAAGTCGTCAACAGTCCTCCGATCACTCGAGGCACGTCAGCAAAGGAACTCCAAGATTCAAGACTTTGACATCAGCATTTCCGATAAGACACAGGCTGTCTACAAATTGGCACAGTTCGAAATATCTAAACGGCTCTCTAAACAATATACCGAACTCGCGTTCCACGTGTTTTCAGAATTTACCTATTATTTCAAAGATCTTCAACCTGCCGCACAAAGAAATGTCATTGCCGTAATTTTGCCGTGGATACAGACAATGGAACTGAAACTCGATCCCAATGGCGGTCCTACTGCTCAATCCTATGTCCTTCTAGCAAACCTCCTAGAGCTCACTATCAAGTCAGGCGGAGCCTTGCACAATGAAGTTCAAGCCCTGTGGCAGGCCCTTGCCACGGGGCCACACCCGGGAAATGTGCGTCTAATCTTGGACTTTATCATGCATCTCTGCCTCGAACGACGAGAACAGAATTTTGTGGAATACGTGAAACAGATTGTGGTGTTCTTATCAACAACAAATAGCACACCGGGAATCAAAGTGGTCGAATTCTTGTTGATGCAGATCAATCCCAAGGCCATGGTACCAAATGAGAAGCGAGAATCGATACCACCACCTCCTGATATCAACGTTTTCCCCTACTGCGCTGATCTTAACGAAGCATTGCCAGTCGGAACAAAACAAGCTGGGTTCTCGCTCGGCCAACTGTCGCTTATCCTACTGGTCGACTTGATGGTGTCTCCGGTTCATCTCACGCCTGACAATGTTCCCCTTCTTCTCCAAGTAGTCACTGTACTGTGGGATCACTATACCCCTCTTGTGCAAGAGCAGGCCAGAGAGATGTTGGTTCATCTGATTCATGAACTTGTCATTTCACGTTTGGACGATGTCTCGGCTGATATCGCAAAGGAGTCCATCGAGGACCTGGTTGACGCAATTCGTCGACATGACCGTACTGTTGTTTGGGGATATGAGGATAGCAACGGGAAGGTGGATGATCACGACAATAAGGTCCCCCCGAGTATGGAATACCTCACCTCGGAAGTAGTCAAGACGTTTCAGGTCACCTTCCCGGCAATCAAGGAGCAATGGGGCCGGCTGTCTCTCACATGGGCAACGTCTTGTCCTGTAAGACACTTGGCCTGTCGGTCTTTCCAGATCTTCCGATGCGTTCTGACATCTGTCGACCAGTATATGCTTGGTGATATGCTTGCTAGGCTGTCAAATACTATTGCGGATGAAGACCCCGAGATTCAGTCTTTCTCTATGGAGATATTGACCACACTGAAAACACTACTGGTGAAGTTGGATTCCGAAAAGCTTTTGACATTCCCACAGCTGTTCTGGACGACGTGTGCTTGCTTAGAATCTATCAATGAACGGGAATTCCTCGAAGCCGTTGAGATGTTAAACGAGCTTGTTAGCAAGCTTGACTTTAGGTTGCCAAATGTGCGAAGGATCATTGCGGACGGCCAACCGGAACGTTGGGACGGTCAGTTTGACGGCATCCAGCCCTTGCTGTACAAGGGTCTCCGCTCTTCTTTGTGCTGGCAACCGACTCTGGATACGATTGATAAACTTGTCAAACTTCCCGCGGACCCTCTGATCGGAGATGATAGCCGACTGTTGTTCGCCTTGCTGGCGAACTTCCCTCGCTTCTTGAACGAGCTGGAAAATGCATCGCCAACAGAAAAAACTATGAAGACAGCGAAGCTACTTCGAGTCGAGGCTGATAGACTGGGTCTTGAATCCATTGCACAAGCTCTCGATGACTATACTTGTGGCGGACAATTGGACAGCGGGGAGTACCTGACTCAACTTCTTATGGCCTTGAGAGAGCATTTCTTGCCACAGCACGAGTTCAAGATGATCACATTTTTGACCGGACTACTGACAAACTCGCTGTCCTGGGTCAAAGTGCAAACTATGCGGATACTGTGCGTTGCCATCCCAGAAGTTGATATGCGCAATCCAGAACTCGCGGGCCACGGCGCCGATCTCATCTCTCCTCTGTTGCGACTTCTTCAAACAGAATTTTGCATGGATGCATTAAAGGTCTTGGACAATATCGTGACCATATCGGGCAGTCACATGGACAAGCACTATCTCAGAATGTGTATGACTCGGTCTACCTCAAAGGCCGTTCGTAAAGAATACGAGCGCACCCAAAGTCTATTTGGTATCCCTGAGTGTTCCGGCTGGGCCATCCCGGTGCCCGCGAGTAAGACAGACGCAACCCGGGCGAATATCCATGCTGCCTTTTATATGTGTCAAAGCACAGAGGGCTCGTCAACTGAGGCTACCCCGACTACGGAAGTCGAGTTTCACGAGGACGACTTTCCATACAGCTATTTCGACTCTATAGAGAGAACAGAGACAATGCTCTCGGACGACGGCCGCGCTGAGGTCCCTGTCGGAGATTTGGTCACCAAGTTGGATAGCCTGGATGACTTTTTTGACGAACCTTCAAGCCCCACCACAGATGATGATGGAAGGTCGTCTCGCACCGTCACCGAGTTTTCGCCGGAATCTTTTGAGTCTGGCACGGAGCTCTACGATGAGCAGATCTTGCCCATTCTTCACGAGGCATCAAACACGACGGCTTTTCAAAACGGATTCATTGATCGTCCCTTGGGAATTTCCAGAGATTTAGCAACGAACACGATGAACCCCGGCGCATTCACCGCGGGAATGTCACCAAGGCCAGCACTTCATTCCAGATCCATAACGTCGCCGTCTGCTCCAGCGTCATACCAATCACACATGGCTGGTGAAATTGGATCTGATGACGAGTACTTTTCTGCGGGGTTTTCAGACGCCGATGACGAAAGACCGGATGCAAGAAGCCGCGTCAAATGCCCCAAGCCCGGCCCTCGGCCTACAATGAGACGAGTCGACAACAGGTCCCGCGATGAAACCCTACGCGAACCCACGCTTCCACAGGCAACGCCAAGGATGCCAAACAAGGCATTCCAAGCAAACATGGCAAGCCCGGGAGATATTTTTTAAGGTTTTGACAACAGAGGAGATTTAAAATGTATATTGAATGTTATGATACAAATCTACGCAGGGAGTATTGAAGAGAAAAATGATGGCAGTACAAAGTTGGGGGCATTTGGTGGGACTTGCTACGATTGTAATACTTACGACAAACAAAAGCTGCAGTTGGATAGACACTCCACAACAAAAGATGGACAAGGGCGTTTGGAGCGGTGCCTCTGCCCAGATGTAGTATATGGCCACGGCGTCTTGGTTTTTTTTTTTTTTTTGTTTCTCATAAAATTAGCATAAATAAAGACATGGACGTCTATATGGAGACCAACCCTTGTGATTTCAGATCCCGGGTTCCCAAAAAGCAACGTACATCATGATGATCGTGGTATATAATAAGGAACCGCCCTCGCCCTGTCTTTTGCTTCGAGTCAAAGGAAATACGGTGGCCTTTAGTATCGGTGGCGTGTGGAATAGTCTGCCATGGTATGTTAGTCTCTGTGCGCATAGACGAAAATGAAATTCATGCAAAAAAAAAAAACAAAAAAAAAAAAGGATGCCAACTGACCCTTTGGACTATTCACTTGACCCTTGCCCTTGGTGGCCCCCCGGTAAACGGCCTCCAAAATATTGATCACATCCTGTCTATTGCGCTCGACAAAATTCATCTTGTTGTTGTTACCTGTACCGAAATCGCACATTATATGTTTATTTCTGAAGAAGAACATGACCGCAAATGGTTCTTCATTGGTGTTTAATTCTGTTTATATTGTCAGTCTGCGGGCAAATTGAAGAAATAGATGCATGAACAGATAAAGAAATAAAACGGGATAAGGAACGGGCTGGCGCCAGCAGTAAACGGAACATGGGTGTGGGAAAAACGCACCATACATGTGATTGAAGTCGGGGACTTTTGAGATGTCGCACACGTAGATGACGGCCCATTTCTGAACCAAGGGCGCGACTTTGGAGAGGACTTCGTCCATGATGTCGAGGTCGGGGTTGTTGGTTGGGTCGCCGAAGCGGATGACGACGAGGCGGTTGTCTTCGCTGAGAATGGCCTGGTCGACGTGCCAGCCCGTGACGAGGTGGGGGAGAAGAATGGTTCCCATGATGGCGGTTGGTTTGCGACCGAGGGAGCGGGTTGTCGTGGCAAAGGCTTTCTCGTGGATTGTCGTGCGTGTGAAATTTTTTATTTTATCTTTTGGAGGTTCAACTAGGTCAAGTTTGCTTGGAGGAAGAGAGCGTTGGTTGGGAGGCGTGCGGCTTGGAGCGTGGCATGACGGCGGGGCAATCGCGGGGCAGGCAGTGTGCGGGTGGGTCCTCGATATATGCATGGCCTTGACTACTTGCATGCCTTTTTTTTTTTTTTTGGTTTTCAGTTGCAGCTCTCTCACATGCAAGATGGTGGTGAAGAGGACGTCATGTTGAAATGTCCGCCCGTCGTACGCGCATTCGTGCGCCCACGGCGGCAAATGGTCCACTTTTCGAGTCTTCAACGCGCGTTATATCGATCCTCGCGATGCTACACCACGAGCGCAGGTGACGATGGCTTACCAAGGCCACGACTAAACTACCCCGATCCCCCAACTACAAGTCACTCGGATCTCGATTCCTCATGCCTTTTTTTTTTTTTTTGGTCTTCAGTTGCAGCTCTCTCACATGCAAGATGGTGGTGAAGAGGACGTCATGTTGAAATGTCCGCCCGTCGTACGCGCATTCGTGCGCCCACGGCGGCAAATGGTCCACTTTTCGAGTCTTCAACGCGCGTTATATCGATCCTCGCGATGCTACACCACGAGCGCAGGTGACGATGGCTTACCAAGGCCACGACTAAACTACCCCGATCCCCCAACTACAAGTCACTCGGATCTCGATTCCTTCATGGCCTATGCCCGTCGAACAGGCCTAGACGCAAATTCCTCCGTCTACGTCGGCACCCACTACGAGTACAAAGTATCCAGCGCCCTCGCCAAATACGGCTTCTTCTTGAAGCGGATAGGCGGCTCATCGGACTTTGGCACGGATTTAGTAGGGACGTGGACGCTTCCGTGTTCGTCTCCTACAACACCATTCAGAGTCCTCGTGCAGTGCAAGGCCGGCACTCAGCGCGTCGGACCACAGCATATTCGTGAACTGGAAGGCGCTTTTGTCGGCGCGCCTGTCGGATGGAGAGGCACGGGGGTGCTGGGCTCGCTCGCGAGCGAGCGGGCTGCGACCAGGGGGGTTCGCGATTCGTTGGGGAGAAGCAAGTGGCCGATGGTGTACATGTGCTGCTCGAAAGAGGGCATCGTGTCGCAGATGATATGGAACCAGTGCGCCGAGGAGCTGGGTCTTGATGGATACGGGGTCTCTGTGAGGCGTGGTGACAACAGGGATGAGTTGGTGTTGATGCATAATGGCGCTGTGATACCGTGGTTGGAGGAGAAGTGATTCGGGGTACTTTTTGACACGTAACGCATATTGGAATACCCACTGTGCTGTAAGCATGGTGTATTCATCCCGGTCATTTGCAGCTTCAAGAGCTGTCCCGATCGACTTGGCTTGATTTGATGCCAACCGCGCGGGAACCAAAGATGTGACGGATAGCTAGCGGCTTGCGCCAGCCCATCTAAAATGGTGTCAACTGTCTCACTAAATACCTAGTAGTAGCCAACTAGCTACCCGGGTAGTTTATTTTGGGCCGGCCATGATCCATCATCATCCTTCACCAACATTGGGTTGGTTTAGTCATCTACCGCGCGCAGTATCAGCGCCACCCTTGTGCCCTGCAACTCGCTCACAAATCAAAAATCACGGCGCAGGATTCGTTGTGCCACAAACGAGATAGGCCCTGGAGTCAATTACAGACTGACATGGTATTAATAACACGAGCGGGTTTCGGAGAGTTTATTACCAAGCCAAACCCAATCTCAGATGTTGAGGCTGAGAAGAAGATTAAGATTCAGCGTCAGCTCTACAAGTTTTAGACAAGTAGTACCAACGAGAAGGTGAAACATGTAAAAGCGTAAAGTCATCCAGCAAAGAAGTGACACAGGCATCCCAGTAACAATCCTAAAAGATTGAGTTGAAAAAAGAGAAAAACTCTCCTCACAATAGCTCGGGAATTTCCGACAGGCAACATGAGTGACATCAAACCCCTTACCGTCTGGATCCACGGTATGTTGTCCTCTTCACCACCGGCGACCAAGCGGCACACTTACACGACGGGCAGGTCAAGGACCGAACCCATTCAAGGTCCTCATTACTCTGGAAGAACTACGAGTCCCCTACAAAACAGTCCGTCGTATGAACCCGATCCGGCATCAAGAGGAGATTCGCTAACCCAGCACAACCCGTAGATCACCATTGAGAACCCCAAGGAGGAATCCTTCCTCAAGATCAACCCCAACGGCCGCCTACCCGCCATCCAGGACCCCAATGCCAATGACATGATTCTCTGGGAGTCTGGTGCCATTGTCGAATACATTGTGGAGAATTACGACGAGGAGAAGAAATTAACCTTCACCAAGGGCCCCGAGAAATGGTACCTCAAGCAGTATCTGCACTTTCAAATGTCTGGACAGGTACGAGCTGGCTTTTGCCGAGCCATTTCTAGGCTGGATTCCATGTACACGGGGAGATCTGACATGAAGCAAATTGTGACAGGGGCCATACTTTGGCCAGCACTTTTGGTTCCGCAAGTTTCACCCAGAGGACCTCCCCAGCGCCAAGAAGCGGTATGACGAGCAGACCCTGCGCGTCTTGCAAGTTTTGGACAGTATCCTCGAGGGGAAGGAGTACCTTGTTGGCAACAGATTGTACGTCATGGGCGTCGCAATGCCTTTGAGAGAGTCTTGGGGTTGGAGTTGTGCTGACAATCTCTCCTTAGTACGTACGCCGATCTGGTTTTCATCCCCTGGGATCGTGTGGTGGAGGGCTTTTCCAAGGACTTGTTGGCAGAGTCGGAAGCCGAAAAGAAGTACCCCAACTTTTTCGCTTGGCACAAGCGTTTGGTCGCTCGGCCTGCCGTCAGGAAGGTATATGGTTTGTAGGGCAAGGCAGTCAGTCCGCAGGCAAACGATGGCAAGCGGGGGAATGGTTAAAACGACCGGGTGGAAACAGATGGAGGCTTGTATGAAGTGTTGACCATATATCGGATTAGACCTACAGATTGAACACCCTCCCTCTTTTTTCTTCTTGGTGAGAAGGGGAAGATGAAGATACTATTTAGTACGCACGTCGTATCTACAACAAGTTCGTGACTTTTCGATCCTTGTATGACTCACTCAGTCATCCCAGACAGCAGCTTTGGCCTTGTCTGCCTCCATTTTCTTTCGAAGCTCCTCCTGGCGTTCCTGTTCCTTCTTCTTCCTCTCTTGCTCTCTGATGGACTTCTGATAAGCCTTCTGCTCCTCTGTCTGTTTGGGGGCTTTCATGCCCAAGCCAGCAGCAATCATACGCCGGGCCACGGCATCAGTTTTCTCCGGCCTTCTTGTCGAATCGGCCCCAGAGGGAGAATTGCTTCCAGGGGCCCCGGCATCGTCCCATCCCGGGATAGATGCATAATTTGCTGCGAATGGAGTTGGTGGTGGTGCTGATGGGACCGTTGGGCTCACTACCGAGGGCCTGAGCTCGTTCTCGGATCCGGATGACTCGTCATCGTCCTCCCATGAGTCTGCCACTGCAGCTTTCTTCCTGGGCTTTGAAGCCTTCTTGTTGCTTTTTGATGTGTCTAGGGTTAGGTTTGATAGAGACTCGGTCACCTTGTTCTTCTTGCGGCATGTAGAGGACATGGTGGCGGAGGCGTGTCGACTAGGAAGACGGGAGGCCTGCGAAATGGCGTGAATATGGGCATCTACTCGCACAATGTATCATACAACAGCGCTTTCGACAGCTGTTCGAAACGTGAAATCATATAACAACCTGGACGTCGAAGAAAGGATGTAATGTCTGAAAAGCCAACCTGCTCGACTATCTCCCTTCACCCCACCTGAAACCGCCTTGGCCAACAGCTGTGTAAGACGATTGATCGGGCATTTGCAGCTCAAAGGTTGCGAGCGCGTCGAGCTCGTGAACGGTTTAGACACCTTGATAATTTAATATTAAGAAACAGAAGTGTACTTTTGCTTTGATGTCCAAAAACCGAGGCCGCCTGGGACATTCATGATCGCATCGCTCCGAATGCTGCACTGCAGGGTAGCTGTTACGAGGGGTCTTTATGCACTTACCCGAGTTACCGTCCAAAACGACATCTGGGGTCGCAGGTCGCAGCCCAGGTCGAGCACGACTCGCAGACAATTGCCGAGGCTTTGCCGATGGAAGCTCCCAGCACCATGAATTTTTGGCTCATTGTCGTGCCCGCCGGTCTCGCCCGCCGTCGTCATCATCAAGGCGATTTCACATTTGTCCGTGTCGTCCGCAGCGGCAATGTGCAAGGTAATTTTCAGGACACCAACAAGAAGTCGGTCGTGATAGAGTCTATCCTCGGCCTCTCAATCATCAATTTGCCCTTTAGCGCCCTATTTCTGGCCGAAACCTTTTCATCGCCTCGGCGTTGCCACTGGACTCGGCTCGTACATCCGAGCTTGGTGATAGCTGAAAGGGAGCTCCTAGTCCTTCAACCATGATTCCCCGGTCTCGCCTCTGTGGGCGACTCATTCTCGAGCCGTCCGCCGCGCACGCATCTCGAACGTCTACTTCGTCAATATCGCGAAGATGGGCCTTGTCACCTGCTTGCCATAGTCGCCATATCTGCCGATCCACCCTGCCCGGCATTCGACCCGGCTTGGTTGGAGCCGCCTTTTCTACGACTGCGAGATTAAGCAAAAAGGACGATAAGAGCAAGAAGGATGACTTCTTCGACTCTTCGGCCGAGACCCTTACCGAACCGCTGTCGGAAGAGGAGGTCAAGGCAAACTTGGAGAACAAGAAAAAGGATGCAGAGAGAGCTGCAGCAGACGCCAAGTTGGACTCTTCGGCAACAAAAGCTGATGCCGGTAGTAAATCACAAGATGGAAAGTCCAGTGGTGCGGCAGGAAGCTCGGCAGCGGGTGGTTCAGGCTCAGGGGGCGATAGCTCAGGTGGTGATGGTGGCAAGAAGGGAAGAAAATCTTCGGAAAAGGCTCTACAGAAACCCGTTGTGCCAGAAGTGTATCCGCAAGTACTCGCCATCCCTATTGCGCGGCGGCCGCTGTTTCCAGGATTCTACAAGGCCATTACCATCAAGGATCCCAACGTCGCCTCGGCCATCACGGAGTCTATCAAGCGCGGGCAGCCATACGTTGGCGCTTTCTTGTTCAAAAACGAAAACGAGGACGAGGACATTATTCGCAACGTTGAAGATGTACACGACGTTGGCGTTTTCGCCCAGATCACAAGCGCATTTCCCATCCACGGACAAGAGGGCGCTTTGACGGCCATTCTCTATCCCCATCGCCGAATCAAGCTTTCCAGTCTGGTCCCGCCCAGTGCGGCTGAGAAAATCGACGGCAAACAAGAGCCCGACACTCCAGAAGTCATTCCGCAGCAAAATTCCGGGGAGGAAGATGCACAGCAGGAGAAAAAGGGCGACGTTGTAGCCAGCTTTGAGGAAGGGGCTGTCGAGAAGAAACCAGACCAGGTTGCCGAAAAATACGAGCCAACTTCATGGTTGAAACGCTGGCCCGTGAGTCTTGTTAATGTCGATAACCTTGCTGACGAACCTTGCGACCCCAAAAGTCCCGTTATTCGCGCTGTAACCAACGAAATTGTCAATGTTTTCAAGGAGGTTGCTACCATGAACAACCTCTTCCGTGATCAAATTTCGACCTTTTCAATGAGCCAATCTACTGGAAATGTCACCTCGGAGCCTGGGAAACTGGCCGACTTTGCTGCTGCTGTATCATCTGGGGAGCAGAATGAACTGCAAGACGTCCTCTCCTGCATGAACGTCGAGGAGCGAATGCAAAAAGCCCTGATTGTTCTCAAGAAGGAACTCATGAATGCCCAACTGCAGTCTAAAATCACCAAGGATGTTGAGAGCAAGATCAGCAAGCGCCAGCGAGAGTATTGGCTTATGGAGCAGATGAAAGGCATTCGCCGCGAATTGGGCCTGGAATCCGACGGCAAAGACAAGCTGGTTGAAAAGTTCAAGGAGAAGGCCGCCAAATTGGCCATGCCTGACCCTGTTCGGAAGGTTTTTGACGAGGAGATAAACAAACTTGCTCACCTGGAGACCGCCGCATCCGAGTTTAATGTTACGCGAAACTACCTTGATTGGCTTACTCAGATTCCTTGGGGACGCAGAAGTCCTGAGAACTTTGGCATTCCAAATGCCAAGAAGGTTTTGGATGAAGATCACTATGGCTTGCAGGATGTCAAGGATCGTATTCTCGAGTTTATTGCCGTAGGAAAACTGCGTGGTACCGTGGAGGGCAAGATTCTCTGTTTTGTCGGTCCTCCCGGTGTCGGAAAGACGAGTATCGGAAAGTCAATTGCCCGAGCTCTTAACAGGGAATACTACCGATTCAGTGTCGGTGGTCTGACGGACGTGGCTGAAATCAAGGGCCACCGACGTACATATGTTGGCGCTCTGCCCGGCCGCATCATTCAGGCCTTGAAGAAATGCCAGACGGAGAACCCGCTCATTTTGATCGATGAAGTCGACAAGATTGGCCGAGGATATCAGGGCGACCCGTCTTCGGCTCTTCTAGAATTGCTCGACCCTGAACAGAACAGCTCCTTTTTGGATCACTACATGGACGTTCCCGTTGATCTGTCCAAGGTCCTCTTTGTTTGCACTGCCAACATGACGGACACGATTCCGCGACCTCTCCTCGACCGCATGGAGTTGATCACTCTCTCAGGTTATGTTGCGGATGAGAAAAAGGCTATTGCTAATACGTACCTGGCACCAGCGGCCAAGGATGCAGCAGGCCTGAAGGGTGCTAATGTGAACCTTACCGACGAGGCAGTCGAAGAGCTAATCAAGTCTTACTGCCGTGAATCTGGAGTTCGTAACCTCAAGAAGCAGATCGAGAAAGTTTACAGGAAGTCCGCCTTAAAGATCGTTCAGGAGCTGGGAGAGGATGTTCTGCCCGAGGAGGAAGCCTTGACTGACGAAGGCAAAGCTGCACTGGAAGAGAGCCACAGGAAGACTGAGGAGGAGGCTGCGGCAAACGATGAGACAAAGTCAGAAGAAGCGCGTGCGGCCACCGAAGCCACCGAAGCCAAGACGGCTGAAAAGCCGAGGAAAGCACTGCGGGTTCCCGACTCGGTGGACGTTCAAATCGGAAAGGACAACCTTGTGGACTACATTGGCCCCCCCGTCTTTACATCGGACCGCCTTTACGATGTAAGCCCGGCCGGTGTCTCGATGGGCCTGGCCTGGACACAAATGGGCGGTGCGGCCATGTATATTGAATCCATTCTGCAAGCACCTCTGCGAGCTAGCACGAGACCATACCTTGAAATCACGGGTAACTTGAAATCTGTTATGAAGGAGTCAACGACCATTGCCTACTCCTTCGCCAAGGCCTTCATGGTCAAGCAGTTCCCAGAGAACAACTTCTTCGACAAGGCCAAGATGCATCTTCACGTTCCGGATGGCGCCGTGTCCAAAGACGGACCCTCTGCCGGAATCACCATGGCTACATCCCTTCTCTCCCTGGCTCTAGATACACCCGTTGACCCCACCGTCGCCATGACCGGCGAGCTCACACTCACTGGCAAGGTCCTGCGCATCGGCGGACTGCGTGAGAAGACTGTGGCAGCCCGTCGAGCCGGCTGCAAAACAATCATCTTCCCCAAGGACAACATGTCGGACTGGCTGGAGTTGCCTCAGGTACGTTGTCATTTCTCATGCTCACCATCGTGAGATACATGGCTAACCCGCCCCCAAAACAGAATATCAAGGAAGGTATTGAAGGACACGCCGTAGGATGGTACAACGAAGTATTCGATCTTGTCTTTCAAGACCTCGACCGCGAACAAGCCAACAAGAGCAAGGTCCAAGACGTCAAGAAGGAAGCCGAGAAAGCCGAGAAATCTGAGGAGGAGGATTAGAAGCAAGCAGAGCGACAAGCCTAGACGACCGACACCTGCATGAAATTGGCATTATGCGCCAGTGTACACTGTCTATATTCCTAAACGTGGACGCTTTTGTACGTGGATCATGGAAGACGGCCGCATACGTTTGGGGCGTTATCATTTAGTTTATCTTTTGTTGTTTCCCTTCTTTTTTTTATATACACAGGCTTTTTGACGGGAAGCTGGTGGTGCATGCGATACTCCTACTCTGTGTACATTCGTCCTGGGACATCTCTTGTATTTCTAGAAAACTTAGACTGAGGGATTGTGGGTGGTGGATCTGGTCATACTGGTGGATGAATATAATACTAAATCAAAAATATGCTACTCTGTTCACGCACGGAATAGTATTGTAGTCAATGGAGGAGGACTTTTGGAGCATCTTCTTCTGGTCTAAATTTCCACTCAATGGTCCCGCAGATCGACTGTGGAGTCGGGGAACGGGACGCGGGACGAGCCTTGATTTCGCTATTCCCAGTTCGGCTACTCAGTATGCCAGAGCGTTTGGAAGTTTTTATCTCATGATGTGTTATGTATGTGTGGGGGAGGGGGTGGAGGGGGTTCTGAAATAGGCCAGGCACGTTGAACGAGGGCTTGAGCCTGGAAGGCAATGGTCTCCCTGAGTCAGGACTTTGTCCCGTTGTAAAGTTGAGGTTGGGTTCATGTCGTGATACCTGACCGTCCGCATGGAATCGCGCCAAAGCACTAGGGCAGGGCAACATCCAGGTGATATGCTCCACCCTTGCGCAACATAGACACGCAGTGAACAGTGCAGGTTTCATACCACACCACCGACCAAATCTTTCTCTTTACACTATCTTTGATCCGTCATGGATCGTCTTCTGCGCCCCTTGACTAGGGCTGCATCCGTGCCTAATCACGAGAGGGCGAAGCATTGTATTGTCCAGTGAGGCGGCGCGAGCCTCCGGCTGGGCACCGGGGAGCACGAAACATGGGACGGACATGGAATGATGTGGACGGTGAGTGTTAATGTGGATGTGGCTGCGAGCATGTGTGACGTGGTGAGCCCCATTGGCTTGGGAGCAGGGCCGTTGTTGTAGGCTTGGTGTTTTGGCGACCTAAACCTGCTTCGGAACATGGCGAGGACTTCTACTCGTTTCCACCTCAGCATGGTGTAGTATTTTCTTCTCACAATGGACAAATTGCCGGGATTCCTGTACTCAGACTGCTTGTGGTTAGTAGTGACGCATCGTGTGCTTGAATGCAGGGCGCTTTGAGGCATTCTTATACATAGATGCCCAATTCAACGCATGTCTGGCTGATTCTTGGCGGATTGGGAAAAGCTGGGTCTGGGCCTCGTGTGTGCTGGAACGCGATAGTACGGCGCGTACGGCGCAAGGTGCATGGTGGCTTTGTGTGCATTTTGGTCCGGAGGAACCGAGTGAACAAGCCTCCCGGTTGTGCATCAGCTTATCCAGAGGAAGGGGAGGTGCTGAGTTCCGCCCGTTGAAGTTGCAATCTGTTGCCTGATGTGGCAGTATCATCCATGATATGTGATGGCAATGGGCCGACGAAGCAGTTTGCACTCCATTGGCGCACTGAGAAGTGGCAGCATCCCTCCTGATCCTCCCGTGCACACTCGACCACCTCCTCGCCCTTGGTCCCTGATCCTTTGTATTCATTCATATTGCCATTCACGGTTCTTCCGACCCTCCCGGGCCCTAGCTTCACCGACTTGGCCCAAGCTCTTGTGCGGCTTGTATGAGTTGCCTGGTCCCTTGACATTCGGTTAAGAAGCTGTCAGCATGTGAGGTGGACCGATCAGCTGGGACCAACAAGAATTACCGGACACGATCAGGAACGAGATGCCGTGGTTGCAGGCCGCCCTGCGCCATGGACAGAAAATAGCGCTGCCTTTTTTCTGGTCACTGGGCGCCTTGCGGCAATAGTGAAGAGACAAAGAGCTCATGGAGAAAGACTTCGGCCCAAACGTTGAAACAAATACAAAATTGGAACCGCCAAGGCACATACTTGTGTTGAGATGATGAATCGAAAATAAGGAATGGGAGAAGAACATGGCTCTGGCATTGAAATGGCAGCTGCTCAACATGTGTTTGTTACTTGTTTGGCATCTGTCTCTGAGATGTTGCCGGGGTCATTGATGGATTTAACGCCATTGTTGGCGACGCTAACAGGATTTTGTGAAGTGCCCCAGTGTCCAACCATGCTTTCACCGTACTCCCGTACATGAAGTTTACCGGCGAGTAGCAGGATCGAGGTAGGGAGGAGCAGCCGAGCGCCATTACTGCGAATGCTGCCGACTTGACGCAGCCATGGCTGGATGGTGTACGCATGGGCTCGGGACGCCTCACAGAGAGTCCGGGATAAAAGTAGCGCCAAGTCGGCCAGACACGCCGCACCTATTTTGCGGCTGTCGTTGTCTGTTTGCCATTTGCCATGCTGCCATGCTGCCGTCATCGCCAGGTGCTGTTCCTCGGGTCAGGGCTGCATGCAACAACATGTTGACAAAGAACTCCTCCAAAGGTGTGGGCGATGATGCGGATCTCGTTCGACTGGGGCAAGTCGTCGACCGTCGGGGTCCAATAATGCGCCAGCGCGGGCCCTCTCTTGCGGCCCGCTGGAGCGCCATTGAGTACTCAGGACGGAGTACGGAGTATTATGAGCCACCACAATTGATGCCAAGGGAGGCCGAGCAGCGAATCGACTTTTTCATGGGCCTGCCAAAGGACGCCATTTCCGGGGCTGCGTCTGACCGCCAGAGTGAACTTTGACTTTTGTCAGGTTGACAGTGGGCAGGCAAATTACATATCGACGCTGAACATGGACAAGGGAAAGTTGGATGTTTAAAAGGGTACTCGACAAATTGAAACAAATTGTCGGAAAACGATGAGGAAGGGGGAAAAGCGGATGGAAGGGCACGGAGTCTGGACATGGCTATGGCTGTAATGGTAAGGAAGGTACAGCCAGCTGCATGCAGTCCCTACTGCCTGTTGTCTACTCCGTAATAGTTACCATGAACACCACACTTGCAGCCTGCTTGACATGGAGCCTGCAGCAACTTGTCGCACAGAGCCAACGTTGACTGACAAATTGAATTATGAAATGAATGAATGAATGAATGCACCCAGCTCCTCCGTACTCCGTGCTTAGGGCATCGTGGCACACCGGACCAGTTGCCATCTTGACAAGGGGCCTCCCGCTTGTTCCATGTACGCAACAGGAAACCACCATCTAACTTAGATGTCGAGGTACCCAGGCAGGTACGGTTGATGGCAAAATTGATTGGGCTGAGGAAGGGAGAATCAACAGCGAAGTGGCTCGCACTGGCTCAGTTGCACTTGCATTTTGCAACTTGGAGCCCGCTGACAACTCTGCTAGCTTGGCTGTACTCCGTACATTATCCAACACCAGCACCTGAGCCGCTTGACCTCTTCCGAGCCGCACCTCTGGTCCTCACGTCGTGGGTCATTGACCATTGACCATTGACCACTCTTGTCATTCTGCACCTTAACCTCTCACGATGCTCAAATCCTCGTCATTTTTCGGGCTCCCACTAATAACTCTGACTTCTTGATCCATCGCTGTCCAACGAGGAAAGCCCAACATCGTCACTACCCCTCCCTCTCCTCAATCCTTCTGGCAAACCCATCCTCCGTTCTTCGGCGCCATTGTGCGAATCGCCATCAATACTCCGTGCTCCCTCCGTACTCCCTTCGTACATTACTTGCGACAAATGACACGGCTTGGATCACTTCGCGCGGTCTGCCCGTTTTAAACACCTGGGCACTTTAGCGCCATTGCGTATTGCGCTCTGGAGAAAGGCTGGAGGCAAACAAGCTGGCAAAGTGTCGTCGTCTTGCGGAATCGAACTGCCAGTCGTGTCAAACATTAATCCCCACAGCCGCTTTGCTTCACCGTACTATCAGTGAACAGACAGCAAACATGGTGGATTGACGAAAAGGACGACGAGTCGACGAGTTGACGACCCGACCACCCCAGCCATTTTCGCTGCCCCATATGGGCTGTGTGGCATTTGGCCGCCATTTGCCTGCTCCCCCTTTCCGCCTTGTTTTCAGCCAATTTTTTTTTGTTTCTGTTTCATGCCGCCCTACCAATTCTATTCGCTTCTGCGATAGCCCTCTTCTTTGACAGCATCTCTCGTGTCGCTTGCCTCATTGTTCAGTCGATATGCTATGCGTGCGGCTGCCTGCATGTATGCTTATACCAGACTCTTTACAACTCTCAACGGCCAGGCTCGTCGGGACCCACTGCCCAGCCACGCTTTCGACTTATAACCCAACCTGGGCTGATTAGGCAAGGCTGATACCATTGAATTGGGCAAACAAGCGTCCCCTTGCGTCCATCGTCTTGAATCTCGCCTGGAATTTCGGTAATATTTGCTAGCTTTCTAGGATACGTCGTGTTGGCTTTGAGATTTCATCTATCCGTTGCCTAATATGGCTGGTCTAGGTGGCTCTAAGGCTGAGCCGTCGCCTACAACAACTGGGGGATGGGATTTCCTTAAACACTTTGGCCAACCAACAGACGAGACGGGGTTACCAACATCGGAGACCGATCAAATTCTCAATGAGAAAATGGAAGAGGAGCCTTCAAAGACTGTAAAATCTGTTACTGGCGAGGACTCCAGGAGAGCTGTCATTGGACTACCCCGAGCTCAAACCCTCAAGAGGCAGTTGTCCGAACAGAGGGTGAACCTAGAACCTGTGCTTCCCACACCAGATGAGAGGAGAGCTGCCTCAGAGGACAGGCGACGCGCAGAATCATATATGGGCCAACCCATTTTGCCGCACTGTGACCCTCGTTCAACTGCCCCTGGTACTTTTAGCCCCTCTACCTCATCACTCGACGGCTATGGTTCAGAGTATACGTCTCATACTTCTCACTTACCAAGCGACCCCGGCCACTACGAGCTATCTAACCACATCATGGATCAAGCACAACTCCATTTAGAAAGTCGCTATGACGACGGAGTGCCGGCAGACGCAGCGTCAGTAGCTGAGGACTCGGTAGACGAAGCCACGCTTGCTGAAGAGCTGTCACAAAAGTGGATTCTGAACCTGAGTATGCACTTCCGTGATGGATCAAAACGCGAAAAATTCTTTGTCACGTATCGAGAGAAAGAAAATCTTTGGAGGAGAGTCACAATCTCTCTCGATTATCGCACCGTCCCGGGCGACTCTCTTGAGTGGAGGCTGTCCCGTACTAGAGAACAAAGAGAAAAGAACGCCAAGATATATGAAGCCATCCGTGGGAGCATTCCAGTCATCCGATTTTTCGATACTGTAACGAACTTGAGACTTCAAACAACAGACGATCAGCTACATATCCATGTCGTCGAGGACGTGAATGTGAGTGGAAAAGGCTCTGCTATCCATTCTTTTCTGCCTGCCACGAATAGCAAAATGAGCGACATCTGACGCAGTTTATTTAGGAGGTTATCCACTTTCCTACTGTTGATCATGTCAAGCACCTTGAACTTGACTTCTTTCGGGAAAGTGACATTGTCTTTGACTCTCATCTATCAGGCTTCGTTTACAAAGTTCATGTCGGTGGAAAAGCCCTGATTAAGAAGGACATTCCGAGTCCTGAGACCATTGAGGAATTCTTGTACGAAGTCAACGCACTTGGCAATCTGCGCGGCTGTAAAGACATCGTTCGACTTCACGGACTTGTTATTGACGACTTTAGTGACCAAATCAAGGGCCTTCTCGTCACATATGCTGAGCAAGGTTCCCTGCTGGATATAATATACGACAACTGCAAGGAACGGGGATTGTGCATACCGTGGCCGACGAGGCAGCGATGGGCACGACAAATTGTGAGAGGTCTACATGACATTCACGAGTTGGGAATCGTACAAGGAGACTTTACGCTGAACAACATCGTAGTCGACGCTGCTGGCGATGCAAAGATAATCGATATAAACAGAAGAGGATGCCCGGCTGGATGGGAACCACCAGAGCTGAAAGTGCTCATCGAAGGCCACCACCGCACTTCCCTGTATATCGGTGTCAAGTCTGACCTTTTCCAACTGGGCATGGTGCTATGGGCATTGGCTATGGTCGATGACGAGCCAGAAGCCCATGGGAGGCCATTGATGCTAGGACCAGAGGTAAATATTCCAGATTGGTATCGTCAAATGACCGAAATATGCCTTGACCCCGACCCAAGAAAGAGGCTGGCGCCATTAGACCTCTTGAGCATGTTCCCACCCGACGTCGAGGGACACAAGGGATCGACAGTTACTGCCGACGAGAGTCGCTCTTCGGATAGATACAGCGTCGATTACTCGCCTCACACGCAGCCGTACATCAAAACAGTGTCACCGTCCAACGGCTGGCAATGTTCTGGTAAAACTTACGTCAATACAAGCCCAGACATGTACGAACCACGATATCCCCTGCGCGGTCGTTCGCCCCCTAGTTCACCATCTAGCGCTTTCGATGGTTACGACTCGTCGGGAAAAGTCTGCAGCAGTACCTCTTGGGCAGCCAACAAAAGTGTCCGGCCCTCATACAGCGACATAGACGAGGACAGTACTACAGAGGCAGGAAAAGTGATCAATGTAGGGCTACGACCTGAAACGCCCCTCTCGCTGGGCCAGTACGACATCGACTCGGCTGCTTATCTCCCTACCGACATAAGACTGGAAGATATCAGCCCGAAACGGGCAACAATGCCGGCTATGGAGAGAAAGCCTTCTTTGGGTGATGGCTTGCAAACGATATCAACCCCAAAACTGGCCAGGCAAGACACTGCAATTCACAGCCCAACTAGACACGACACAGCAGAAACGCAGCTATCCAAAATCACACCCAAGATTGAGGACAATCACTGGGCTGAGTCGCTTAGTGAGCACGTGGATGAGCCGGCAGCAAATATGACAACTGCAACCGAGATGGTCGATATGCACACTGTTTCGGACGCACATGAGATGAAAACCATGGAAAGCGATGCAGACGGCGGAGTCTCGCTAGCGCCAGGGCATGTTCCCACTGCCCATAGGCTGCTGTCACACAGCGACCTCCATTCTGAGGCGCAACAGGATGTCCAACAAAATGAGAGGCCTCCTGATGTCAATACACGCCGTTTAGTTGCCACGCAAATCGGCACAGACATGACCGAGTCGGCGATGACTACAGGGAGGGAAGCATCCACCGACAGTGCTGTGTCAAACAAACTACACACGCGCTCGGTACATGATCGCCGGGAGGAAGCTCGATTAGAAGATTTTCTACTACGATCATCGATACCGGACTCTATGTCCGGATCACATCTACATCAACTCCCGATATCAATCCCCGCTGTATTGACTGGCGTCGGCGCGGGCTTATCCACCAAGTACGACACGAATGGACTCAGAAATATGGTTGCCGTTGACGATGATTTCAACGCGTTGGCACGACCTGCTACCGTGTAAGCATTAGTTGTCCCGACAGATAAATACCCATCAGAAGACAGTTTAGCAAGAACAAAGAACAGCATCTCGACATCCCCAGCATAAGACGTTTGGAATTTTGGATTCTTTCTAAACCCATGTATACTCTAGACAAATGAGCAGGCGACTGGTGCCATTTTACCTTGATATAGCATGATATTGAAGCGTATGGCGGATTGGAACGGATTTATGACATGACGACTAGCATTTATTTGTATCAGCAAGTTGGGTTTTGCGGCGTATCTTGATGTTTCATTGGATTTTGAACTTTTGAAGCGATGGAGGCTTGGTTGGATGTAGGCTTCCTCAAGT